GTCATCTCCTTTTACAAGCCAAAAAACCTATTTCGAATTATGTTGTATATTTCTTTTATTTCAAATAAAAACAGTAGTTTCTTTAGGCCTTCCTGATTTCGGCATTTTTTCTACATGTCCACGTTCATTGAAACGCGAAATTATTTTAAATACACTGTATTTTCGTAAAATAAACTGCCTGGAAATGTCAACCAAATGCCTTCCTTCCAAGAAAGCGTCTGCTACCATTTGTTTTAATTCCTGACAAATTGGTTCACCTTCAAACTGGGAGTATTTTAGCTTCCGTTATCACCGAGTGTATTTTTGATAGTTGAATATTTAATTTTATAATAAGATTTGCTCTACTTTTGTAAGAGATTATAATATAGTATCAGGAACAAACGGTGGTCATTAAGTGTGGCAAAGTATAATTTGGTTCGGCATTCTTTTATCAGACCAATGGCTCTCTTCTGGATCGAATCAAGCAGTTTCAAGTTATACTTGGGGGCAGAACACCACATGTGAAAGCAATACTCCAAAGCTGGACAAATCTGGGCCTTTGAAAAATTAAAAGCTGTTCCGGTGTATACAGCCTTTTCGCCTCCAAGTTTTTGAGAGGCCGCTTTAGCTATCCTTGCCACATAATTATGCCAAGACATATTGCTTCCAACCTCCACGCCCATCAAATGCAATGAAGAAGACAGGGGCAAAGTCAGTCCGGACATGGTAATGGCTGGAAGTCTTCTTTGTAGAAACAGCATTCTTGTTGCATTAAATTCAACCATATTGCTTCTACCCCACTCCAAATGATGTTAACATCTATATTGATTCTTGTGATCTGGTGACGCCCAAGGAATTGGGCCTCGGCAAGAGTCATTGGGATTGTCGATTTAAAGTGTGCTGTCGTCGGCAAAACTATAAATTGGATTATATCTTCTACCTCGCAGATCGTTGATATAGTTATAACAGGAAGAGAGTGGGGGACAGAATACATCCCTGGGGAACCGCAGCGTTGGTTTTAAACCTGTCTGAGATGTTTCCATATGCGGCTATCTAGATGAATCGGCCATTGACAAAGTTGCTGAACCATCTAACGACAGTCGGTAGAAAGCCATTAGAGCTCAGTTTATTAGGGAGGTTCTTATGCCACGCCCTGTCGAATGCCTTTGAAATATACAGGGCTATTTTGCGGGATTCACCATATTTCTCGATAGCCTCGGTCCACACCTATGTGACATAGGCCAACAGATCACTCGTTGACCTCTGTTCACGAAATCCATATTGATGGTCGCTAATAATATTTGTGGATTCCAGATATTTCAATATTTGCTGGTTTACAAGTTTCTCCATTATTTGCTGAAACTAAAGCAATCGGACGGTAGTTTGTGGGCTCCGTCTTTCGTCATTTTTCCTTTTTTCGGTATTGGTTGAATCCGCGCAGTCTTAAGGGAAGATATATTTTCCATATGAGAGAGAAAAAAGTTTGCACATCTGTAGCTAGCGGTACGTTAGCCTTTTTCATTGCGGACACTGCAATGGAACCATCTTCTTTAGTCAACAGTGGAGTTTTTGCCAACATTTATAAGTTTTTAATAAGGTAAATAATAATTTGGAAGCAATATTCATTCAGTTTTTAGATTTGTGGAAGGTGCTGATTTAGAATCTAATCTATACAAGAGTCGTGCTGTGCTCCTTTGTTTAATTCCATATATGTATCTAATCTTGATGTTGTTCTTTCATCTGACGTTGTTTCGGATATTAGGTTATGAAGTTTGTTGACAGGAAAAAATAATTGATAAGTTAGGTTCTCCTGTTTAGTATCATGTCATATTTTCCATTACATTGAATGTTAGATGTAATTTGTGGCTGAATGCCTAAAAAATAGAGAACATAAAAAAAAATAATATCACTTATTATTAGGGTCGCAATCAGTTTTCTATTTTATCAAAGTATTTTTCTTTTAATTTAGGTAAGTGAAAAGCTGATATTTTATCTTAAATTAAATATTTGCCAATTAGGAATAATCAATTAGAAGAATGTGTGGAAATGGCAGAGAAATATTGTTGTTAATAAAGTAAATGGCCGTTTTGGTACGTTCAAAGCTCAGTTTAATGGTAATTTCGACGATCGATCTGCCAGCACGTTAAATGCATCATTAGATAATGCACGGAGGAATTTCAGATATTATCTTGAGCTAATGACCACGCTAATTAATCTGGTAGAAAGTTGGTTGTATGTAGGTCAGAAAAACAACCTTGCAAATCAAAATTATGGATTGATTTCCAAATAGGAATTTATTCTGAACTAATTCAAGGAATCAATCGATCCATACCAATTCATGGTTTTGTGAGAATATACGTTCAATTATCCTTAATAAAATGCAAACTTATTTAAAACTTTCCTAATCAATCTGGAACACAATTTGTGATTAATTTAAGTTGAGCGTATTCTCACTTTTTAATAAATTACATCAAAAAGTTTCGTAATAAATATATAAGTATTAGGTATTAACTTTCCCTCTCCGGTATATAAAATGATGCCCGTGTTTGTCCCATGATTTTGCTAAATGGCTGTCCTTCTCTTGTTCATTTTCCACCAATCTATGTTCTCAAGTTTTATCCAAAACAATTAGATTAAATTTCCTCAAGCCCTCTTCGGTTTATATTATGTTTCACTTCCCTTCTGTAAATTGCTTTTCTTCTGATTCAAAGTACACGTGCCTTTGTTAAGTTCAAACTTCATAGAGCTAGAATTTTGTGAAAATTAATAAATTTGATAACAATCCAATTATTATTTCACATGTTAGTGAGAAAATTGATAATCTTTCGACAGAGGAGCAAATTATTTTCAGTTTTGAAACTAGAGTTTCCGTTGAAATATATATTTGCGGGTTTCCTTATTAGCGAAACTTCTGTTCATTGATGTCTTTAACTGTTTTCTTGGTTAGGTATTTATTGCTGTTTCCGATTTATTTATTTTGAACTTTAATCGATCACGTGCCTTCCAATTTGCAGGTTATTGAAATTCTGAAAAATTTGCACCTTATTAAAATTTCCAAAACCGTTTTCTACTCTCGAAAGATGTTTATAGGTTTGCTTGGTGAATAAAATTTGTTTTTTACTTCAATGAAACAAACCTACCAAGTTGAACAAAATCGAGACGGTTTTTTAAGATGAGTATTAGGCCGTGATTATGCTGGAGCTGTGATAAACGATAAAAGCAACGATACTAGCGAAGCAACCAAATACAATGCCCGTGTTTGTACGCAGGTGTCTATGTTGGAGCGGCAAGTAGAGCAGCGCTTTTGTGATACTTTTGATAGGGTACTTTTGAATAGTTCTTATCGCCGCTATTATCGACTCCCTCATAGCTTTCATCACAGCTCCAACATAAACACGGCCTTAGGAATAAAAATAATTTGTGTCAAAAAAAAAGCTTTGGCGATTTTTTAAAGAAACTTTTTTCTTATTAAGTTGACATCTTCCTTTCGCTGGGCTTTAATAGGATCTGCGGAAAACTGGAAGAGCTATAGAAATGGTAAAAGAGAAAAGTTCTGGGCAATTATATTTGTAATTTAAAACAGTTTCTTGCACATCCGCATCTCTCTCAGTTTTTGAAATAGGTATTTGAAGAAAATCAAAGGAGACGTTTCTGACAACACGCTCTAACTTTCTCAATTTTCAATACTGTGCAAATCTGTGAGAACTTCTTTGAACAATCTTGTTGAAGCAACTTTTTCTGTAGATTTCAAGTCTAAAACTGCGCAAATGTCTGAATAAGACGTTTCTGTTCCGGTCAGGTAAAGACCTTGATCACATTTTCTTATTATGTGCCAACTATCCAGATCAAATCCGGCAATTATATGACGTTCTAACGAAAAACTTCAAAGTAACCGCTTCTTTTAATTTAAATCACTTATTATCGCTTGAAAATAATGATATTTATAATGGAATAATGTCTTTTCTACATGAAACCGATTCAGAAATTTGATAATAAAGAATTGTCCTAATGTTTATCTCAATGTTTACTACTTTACTTCCTGTGGTCTTTTATGTTTGTCTAATTTGAAAAGTCGCCGTGATAGACCCTAGTGGCATGAATAGTGTGTGCCTGTCTATATGTTCTTTCATCGAGATAGCTATTATGAAATTAACTTATGTGACTGGCTGCATGACCAATCAGTCAAAAGCCAAAAAAAAAAAAATATTGTTTTTCACAAAAAGTTGCCTCAAGATAGTCCCTACAAATTTGCAATGTATTGAAAAATAAGCACGCGTTGCCGAAACCTTGCTTCTTTGTTTTTTTTTTAAGTACCTCAAGAGAGATACGTACAACATCGTTTCGTGCACAAACGATGTTTCATTTCACCTAATTGCCCGAAAATTTCCTTCCTCAACTCTCTATGTCAATTTTTCCAGATCCCCATACATGTAGGCCAAAACCATAAAAAAATAAACTACACCCCAACATACCTATAGATTGTTTCCCAACCCATATTCAATTATTTCAATTATCAGTAAATCAATTCGAGAAAATTACACGCTATTCCAACAAATGCCAATACACGCAGTTCCTCCATTTAAATAAAGCAAACCCGTTTTTTTTTATCGATTTATATCTTTTCTGATAGTGAATAAATCATTCTTAAACCCCTTCTATAATACCTGAGTTCATTCTTTTGCAAGAAAACAGATGTGCGCCGGATTTTATAAGGTAAGGTCTACAAGAAGACGGAAGAATGACAAACTTATAGTATCCCGTTTTTGTATTTTTAGAAAGGTTAAAAAGCTGTGCATATAAGTTTTTTTCTGAATGTATATACATTTTAATAAAGTTACTTGATTGTAGTTTTTTAGACTCTAGGTACACTAGTTCTTTTTCAAGCATGACCGCAGCACGTATAAAGAGCATCATGCTCGGTTATGCATAGAAAAAATTAGTGGATGCTAGGGCAGAGTTAAAAGATTTCCTTAATTGAAGAGCAATGATTATATTTGTTATTAAATTATGACATGTGATAGATTCGGTATGAAGACGAGGACGAAGATGAAGGCCCCCAACCAGACCAGACACTGGAGCAAGGACTGCCCATTCCAGTACGGCTCCAGGGTAGTTTTCCACCAGAACTTGCTAGCACACCACTCGAGGACATCGATCCCTATTATAGCAACCAAATGGTAAGATTATTCAATCGAATACATTTCACATAATTAATGACATTATAATAAATTGCATACCTATCGAAAACGAATAATATAGAGATTTTCATACTTTTATCGCCTGTGATATAATTTACAAGTGCTCCAATTTAGTGGCATGCAGACGTTTTTAATAAATCGTTTAATTTTTTTAAAATTGGTAATAAACATTTTAAGACTTGATCGACAAGGTAGAAATGAAACAGGTCTCAGTAGCTCAGCTGGTAGAGCGTTGCACTGGATATTCGAGGGTTCTGGGTTCAAATCCTAGTCGAGGCAAAAAAAAAAAAAATTCATGAATTTCAATCAAAAATGTCTGCATGCCTAACAAATATAGAGATGGTTTATACTCAAGAGTAGGTATATTTGCAATGATGACGGTAAATTATAGACCGGACATTGACTGAAACTTAAACCAATAATTTTACAAAGTTTCTGTGAGTATATAAAACATGTAACTTTGCGTCGAAATAGATAATCTTCCAATACATATTTCATGCAACACCGATACAGACTTAAGTCTGTCAATTTACTTTCCGATGAAAAAACATTTTGCCAATCTTTTCTAAATATTTTGCAACTACATTTGTCAGAAAACGTCTAGTTCCCCATGCGATTTTGGATTTAGGCGGTTTGGTCGAAGGGGGTAGCTACAAATAAAATTGTGGAGGGGGTTTATTTGCAAAAGAAAGAAACAAATGTACTAGGGTTTTCATACATATACTTTTAATATATAAAATAGACAGAGCAAAATACCTGAACAAAAATTCTATTTTCCAATCGTTACTGCCACCTTTTTTTCAGGTGTTGAAAAAATTAAAATAACATAGGAAATATCGAATTTTGGATTTTCGACAGACAGCAGTTTTATGCTCTGATAATAACACATGACTTTCTTCAAATAAAAAAAATCATGTGCAGTACCGTACCCGTGGTAGAAGTGAAACTTCTTGAAAACTATCCCCCCTCATGCAACTGCAAGGGAAACGCGCATCTGTAGTGACGTCACAAGGGTATCAGCGCTTGACAATAATAGTTTATAATCCTTGGTTTGCGTTAATTGTTCGTCGGCTGTCATTGTCATTGGCTGTCTTTCTCCATCCCTCTATTTTATATTTTTCTTCTCTTCCGTGTAACGAAATTTTTCAAAACGTGACGCGTCTTTCAAATTGCTCTCCATTCTCGTCCAAATATCAGACCGCCGCCTAAGAAGTTCCACTTCAAAAAGCACAGGACACAAAAATATATAAATAACGAAAATAATCACAATTCAAAATGACAATAGTATAATAAAACGGAGGAGCGCATCTGCGCAGTGACGTCATAAGGGTATCGGCACTTGAAAATAATAGGCAGTCCTCTTTGCGCTTATAATCCTTGGCTTATCAATAATAGGCAATCCTCTTTGTGCTTTCAATCCTTGGTTTGTGTCAATCGCAATAGCTGTCTTTCTCCCTTTCTTTACGTTATATCTATCTTCTCTCTCGAGTAACAAAATTTGCCGGTGCGTGACGCGTTTTTCAAATCATTCTCCTTTGACGTCCAAATATCAGATCACCTTAGAATGTGAAAAATGTTCCCACCCTCTTTGGCCTGTTTCGTCAACATGGTTGAGACGAGCAACTTTCTAAGGAAAAGTTAACTAATCTCTTACCCTCCACAGCTATTTCCTCGGAAATGTTTTATTGTGTTTTATTCGAGTGATATATAATTTTGAAAAGTTTGTATTTTTCCTATTTGGACATAGGTAGGTATATAGCTTGAACTTTCAGAGCTGTATTGCCAAATACGTTTTAGAAGTTTAAAGTTTTCTGATACTTACTTTTGAAAAGTGGAATGGAATTTGGAATGGCAATGGATTGATCAGAGAGTGTAGATAATCAAAAACCTTTCAAAATCATTAATTTCTCGACTTCTATCGAAGATTTCTTAGGGATAACCCCAGTAGCACAAGAATATTGGTAAATTATTATATTTACATATTGGCCCAAGAATGGAAACGACAGATTTTATTTTTTTTGCCCAATATATATTGTAAATATGAATCCGATATTAAAGAAAAATATTGGCCTAATATTGCTTATTAATAAACATGTAATATTGCTTTTAAAAATATACCCAATATTTGTTTTTCAGATTGGCACAATGTTTTATATGAATCCGATATTGAATATAAATATTTCTACAATATTACCAATTAATAAATATGAAATATTTCTTCTAGAAATATTTACAATATTTCCTAAAAATATTTACAATATTTTTTTTTTGGAAAAACACATGTATTTAACCAAAGCTCCAACATCTGCAGACTAGACCGGTTTCCGGCTTCGAGCTTGTGAGCGAAGCACATCAACATAAAGAAACAGGTTTGAAGGAAACTCAAACACTAGGAAAGAGCAAGGCCATCAGTAGCGCGTGGTGCCCTCTTTCGGTGGTCCTGATTGATATGGAAAAAGTACATCTCCTATATATCACCAATATTGGATAAATATTAAATATAAACATGAATAAAAGATATTGCCAAACATTGATTGGATCCAATATAGGATCAATCTTGGATTCACATATTATATATTAATAATGTAGGAAAAAGGTTAATCTCCAATATATTACCAATATTAGCTACAAATTGCCAATATTGAACCGATCCTACAATATTTCACAAATATAGAATTAATATTTGGCCAATATGGATAAATATATCACTGTTATATTAGAAAAATTTGTTTTGCCATATTATATCCAATATTGGCTTAATAATACAAATAAAAACATTATCTGTGCATATTGTTCCATTAATGGATACAATACTATGGTAATATTAGAAAAAGCTGTATTGCTAATAATCCACCAATTTTGTCTAAATAATGTCAATGAAGATATTTTTTCTGTATATTAGCCCATACTTATGTAAATATAGTATTACAATGTGGAAAAATATGTATTGCCAATATTGGCTCAATAATGCAAAAAAAGAACAATTTTTTTGTGCTTATCGGTTCAATGATGGATAAATATATCACTGTTATGTAAGAAAAATTTGTATTGCCAATATGTAACCAATCTTGGCTATATGCTGCCGATAAAAATATTGTTTGTGCATATTGGCCCATTCTTGGATAAATATATTATTATAATGATGAAAGAAGTTGTATTGCCAATAAATGTCCAATGTTGGCTAAAAAATTCCAATATTGGGCCAACATACAATATTGGTCCAATGTATCTGTAACATGGGACCAACGTTGTGTGCTACTGGGGAACTATAGAGTTTCTTTGAATTGCAAATATAGGTGTAGAAATTTCAAAAATCAGGACTTTGTCTGAATTTTTTTTATAGATGACCGTCTTTGGTCTTGCTCTGTCACTATAGGAATAAAAAACGATGAAACTAACAGAATGGCTTCGTTATTGATGCCATCAGCCTAAAAATAATTTCCGTGACCATTCCAACAATTCAAGAATAATCATACCCTTCATTTTCGAATTGATGTCGCGCCCTTTACAAACAAATAATGTACCTATACATTAACGTCATTTCTGGAAATTATATATCAAGAAAATATCTCTGAACTAATAATCAAACGAAAAATTACTGGGAAATAAAAATACCTGAAATAAACGACCTTTCCTGTTAAATCGATATAGGCTTAATGAAAATTGAATTACCTTCGGCGTAATTTCATCAAACACAATAGTAAAACATTAATTAATTAACTGTTAGTATTTTCTGCAGAAGGTAACTACCTACACACTTTTGCTAATTAACAAATTGATTTTATACATGATATAAGTATACTCTAAGAAATTATAAGAGCGGCTACTGGTAGTAACAAGTTATCATTCTTAAGCTTGGTTTATTTATCTTCAAAGAATAGTTTCAAATTCTGGATGGAAAGTTATAGCGTACAGTTTATACAGACTACCATATTATACACTTAACGAAAACAGTGGCGGGTTCAGGATTTTCTTCAGAAGGGGGCGCAGGTTATGAATTATTAACAATGATTTTTTTGAACTTATTTTCACTTTTACTTATACGTTGTTGAAGAATGTACAGGATGGTCCAATTAGGACACTTTTGTCTTTTGATAGGAATCGTCAATTTCTGAGCCAGATACGAATAATTGAACACCACAAATTTCATTATAGAGGATGATTCTAGATTTTGAGCAATACTGTGAAACCTTCATAACTTTTTTATTTATGAAAATAATTAATTTCTATATAAACTTCCTAGAGGTGGGTACTTTTTCAACCAGAATCCAATGACGTAGTCAATTGTTTTCTATTTGCTACCGATCTCGGAGATATTGACCAAAGTCTGATATTTTTCAATAGGATACCCTATATAGGTATTAATAGCTCATTGGATAGCTCCGCTTTTGCTGATTTCAACGATATAAAATTCGATAATTCCATCTCTAACAGTTTTCGAGAAAAAAAAAATCTCTTTTAGTCATCAAACATACTTAACAAAAAGAGGATTCGTCTAGCTCCGAAATTGACGTTTCCTATCAAAAGTGTCCAAACTGGACCACCCTGTACCCTGTACATATAAAAAGGGAAAATAATGAAAATACCTATTCAAAACAAAAATAAAACAAGTTTATCAGATAAAAACAAAACGATAAATTAAACAGTGGTGTTAGCTTGGAAAATTTTTGTATAGGTTTTTATTGGAAAATTTTTTTATAAAATTTTATTCTTGTAGGTATACATTTTTCCTATATAAGATGTTTCGAGTTTTTGAGTAGTTTTTCAAGCTCTCAGAAAAAGCGCGGCGCCCCCTGCTCCGACCCTGGATCCGCCACTGAACGAAAATCCATAATGATCTTTTTAAGGTTCATTCACTGCGGTATACGGTATACGCACACAGAACTCCGCTACTGAATTATTTCTTTTGTGTAATTGTTTTCTGAGGCAAAATCTCAGTGTTTTCGTGGGAGTAAATCGGAAGAAAGAAAAAATTCCGC